AGACTGGCGGTGGACCGCCTCCTGAAAAGCTGACTCCCTTGCAGGATAAAGTTGTAAGTATTATAGGCAACACCCCCATAGATGGAATAGAAGGTGGGATTGACACGTGTCCTGACGTGGAAATGGACGGAGTCCCCGTTGAAGAACCCACCCAGACAAGAGATTCTGACTCTTCAAATGAAAATGGTAATCTTAATTTTTATAATAGAAAAAGTTATGAAATTAAAAAAAAAGAACATACATACTTTTGTGTAGTACATTTCATATTATATCTGTACATTGCATGAAAACACTGTTAAGATACTAATTTTCATACTCGTTTCTGGATAAGAATTCTATAACAAACATTTCACTATTCTTTATACCACTCGTCCTGAACATTCATGAAATATTTCCCCCTGGACGTAAAACAAACAGCAATCAATCAACAATTAAACCACATTGCGTTGTTTGTGTTGATTCTAATTTGCGCTAAAGCGGTGTAAATGAAACATTAATCAATCAATCAATCAATCCTTTATAGGTGTTTGTTTAATTAGTTCTGAATATTTGTCTTAAGGAGACCGCAAGTTCCTATTAACCCCATTCTTGTTTTATTTTTGTTGTTGCATGCGACAAATGTATGTTTTTTTCCGTGTTTAGGTTAATCACACACAACGATTGATCTTGACAAACCCCCTTTTTGAGCAGTGATGTATGTCGACCTAACAAATGCAGGAACTACACATGGTATTATTCATTATTTTGACGTTTTAGATATTTATTTTCAGACATGTCTTACTGTTCATTAAGTGTAGTGAGGTGTACAAGAGAAAACTTTTGTGGCAATTTCTTTTCTTCTTGTGCTTCATCCTCAAAATCTTCAAAGGGGAAATATAGTGAACCATCACCAGAGGATTGTAGATTGATAGAAATAGAAAGTGAAAGGTTGAAGGTAGAAAAAGAACGTCTCCATATTGAAAAACAGCGATTACACATAGAACAGCTTAGACTAGAAATCGATCAACAAAGGCTAATCACTGAACAACAAAAGCATCAACTATATATGGCAAAGCTCAACATTAGCATGACACAAATGGGTGTACATGTAGCAGATCCATCATCAACCAGTGTAGAAAAAGACAATCCGTCAAGCTAAAACTCTGTGCTTCTGTGTTGTAGAAATGTTTTGCATACAAATACATCACGATAATATATATATATATACGTATTTTGTTAATCATTTCACTTTAGCCTCTGGTAAATTTCTGTTGTAAATCAAAGTTTCAATTTAACACATGTATTTCATAAACAAAAAAGCAAAAATACAGATATATGAATAAATGTTATATAAATGTTCTGATTAACAATTTTTTCCTTATATCAACTGTGTTTGCAGAAAATATCTCTACAAAATACTTTATTGGAAAGACAAAAAAAAGACAAAATGTGTATGCACTTAATTACAAGTTTTCTGACTTGTAACATACACATTAATATAGGAATGCTAACACCCTCTCCCTTTTTCACAATGGGAATGGAAACTAGTTTTCAGAATTTTTTTATTTTTGCATCAAAATCTGCCATTAATCAGTCTCTGACGCACAGCAGCTCCGTCGTTCAAATTACCATTGTATTGTTGTCTGCCAAGACGTCCACGGTCTTCGAAATTGTCTGCAAGTAGTGGAAGTCTATGTATTATACACATGTTGTGCAATACAACAACAGGTATGACAATGTCACAACATCTCTTAGGGGTATACAATAGTGTGCCACCACTTGTGTCTAAGCATCGGAAACGAGATTTCAGCAAACCAAAGCTTCTCTCCACAATGCTTCTTGTCTTCGTTTGGGCTTCTTTGTAGCCTTGTTGTTGTCTGGTCCCTGGATAAAGAACAAGGGTGAGAAGCCAAGGCCTCAATTGATACCCACTGTCAACTAATAGCCACCCGTGTCCTATTGTTCGGTTTTCAAATATTTCACTAATGTTAGAGTTGGCCCAGATAAATGCGTCATGGGTTCCACCTGGCCACTTGGCAACTCTATTCATAAATTTCATATCAGAATCACATACACCTTGAACGTTAACGGAGTGATAATTTTTCCTGTTCACATAAATATGTTCATCTACCGACGGGGATCTAATTCTAATATGTGTGCCGTCTATTGCACCCACAACATTTGGAAAGTTTGCTACGTTATAGAACCCTTGCATAACACTTTGCAACTCTACTGGGTATGTAGGCATTACGACATGCTGTTGACAAACTCTCACTAAACATTGGGTTACATCCCGGCTAATGTTTGAGACACTCGACTTTGATATGTTGTGAACATCTGCATTTACGAGCTGGAAGCTTCCATTTGCGAAAAATCGCAAAGCTACCATAATCTGCAATGATACTGGGAATGCTCGTGATCTAATTGTAGGCCGTTGCAAATCATTTTCAAACAATCTACATCGGTCTAGAATCAATGGACGTTATAATCTATACTTGCGTATAATGTCAATGCCATCCAGATAGTCCAGTGGTTTATCATAGTCCCTAAGAAGTCTATTTCTACGAATATTATTTGCCCTTCTTCTGAAACGTATATATGCGGCGGCCATATTTGTTTATACATTAACCATCCTAAATACAATGTATATCCTAAAGTAAGGACCATCTTAAGACCATCTTAAGACACCTAAATTGGTATTCTAAAGTTAGGACAATTCCTAGGATTTTCCTAAGTTGCGACATGTTTGATAAACCCACTTACAGGACTAAGATGTGTCCTAAGTTGGTCTTAGGACACGTCCTAATCCTAAGACTGCTTCGATAAACGGGCCCCAGGTCTCCTGGTGATGTGTCATGTGATACAATTTGATGAATTTTCTATTATTTGTAATAGTTTTGTAATCAGCAATATTTTCGCGCGGAATATTCTCTGTATATCTAAATATACGGCAATTATATACTATATGTAGACGATTTTCACAAAAGTCATAAAAATCCTTAGCACACTGAATTTTAGATTTTCGCCTGAGAACAGCGATATCTGCTTGTTTATTTTTAAGAAACCACCAGCGGCGTCTTGTGGACCCACGGCGTATTAATTCGAAGTTTCGTAAAAATTACTTATAAGTGTTTTGTAACCAAGAGTATTGTAACTGACAGTTCCCATGCGTAGTCAGATATTTGTTCTTGACAGTACTGTGTGAAACTTCGATCGTGTTGCAGATCTCGACTTATTACAACAAACTGTTCACAAATTATGTTTTGATTCACAGAAGAACTGTCTATTCCATCTTTTTCATGTACTGCATGCCGGTATAAAATTGTCACGTGGATGCTTTCTTCAGTTTTTTTAAAATAACAAGATTGAATTTCGCGGTAGTCTGAACATCTGTAATTTTCTGCGTAGTCGTGGACACATATTGAATGAATAACAGGTAAATTATCTAAAAGACTTTTGAATTGTGCCAATTCGCTTGATGTTGGTGAGAAGGAAAATCAGTGATTAATTTTTGGAAATACTGAAACATTATTCCTGGTTTTGTTTCCTTTGAAACAAATTTTAATTTGCTACAAATTTTCCCACCCTTTCCAGAACTGTTGACATACCGTTCCCACTTTATATTTACCGATTGGAAATACTGAAACATTATTCCTGGTTTTGTTTCCTTTGAAACAAATTTTAATTTGCTACAAATTTTCCCACCCTTTCCAGAACTGTTGACATACCGTTCCCACTTTATATTTACCAATTGGAAATACCGAAACATTATTCCTGGTTTTGTTTCCTTTGAAACAAATTTTAATTTGCTACAAATTTTCCCACCCTTTCCAGAACTGTTGACATACCGTTCCCACTTTATATTTACCGATTCTTTAGACACATCTTATTCTTCAGGTAAGCTTTTAATTTTAGAAACCCCGCACTTGTCACACGCTCTTTTCAAACACTGTAATTCATAAAAAATAATGAGCCTTCTCGTGGGTTTTTTGATTATATGATTACTTGGCCGTTTTTATAGTGATTATTTGATTACCAGACCAAACGTTTCATGATTATTTGATTATTTGATAATCTAGGACTGTATTTTTTTATTATTTGATTATCTTGTTTAAAAAAATAACTAATGATTATGTGATTATATTGGCAAAATATTTGTGATTATGTATTTACTTGGACACCCCCATGAGGGGCCTCATTAATCATTTGTATTTTTCGGACACAGAGTCTGACTAACTACATCGCTGATGTGCTCAAATATGGGATAATTATTTCGGACATCATTTGATTTGTACTTTAAAGTAGATCTTCGAAATTGAATGCACTGCTTAAACAAATATCGAATTCAACATGCTGGCGACAGCAACATGTACACCGGTCTTTAATTCGCATTCTTTTAATATCTTTTTTATTTGATGAAGTTATTAAAACAGAGGATGAACACCAAAATTCAAAGACAGTTTTTTTAACATCGTCCGAAACTGCATCACTTCTCGGGTTTTAAAATTTGAGTTCTTATTCGTCTTCCTCCAGACAATCTCCTAGGTTTTAATCCCAAATTTTGGCTATGTTTCTGTTTGACACAGGGTCATTTATATCCTCTCCACTTATGGACGCAGTTTAAATGTTCATTGCCATTCTGGCATCGTCACTTCTTTTAGATTTTGATTAACTTATGAATGTTTGTAGATTGTCAATTACTTTACCTACAGTTTTCAATTCATTACAGGCGATGACTTTTTGTAGGCATTCAAATCTGCTACACGTTTTGAGGGGCTTGCAGGCAAACATTCTTTAATTTTTGTCAAAGATCGCGACTTATCCATTCGAAAAGTATCGTTTTCTTTAAATTTGTCATCCACATCTAGGTTTTTCTTCAGCCTATGCGTCCTTTGATAATTTCTCGCGTTCACAGTTTTCAATCTTTGATTCCTTTTTGTAATTGCATCTGTGGTTTGACTGTATTCAATAACTTTTTTTGTTTTATATTTTTCCGAATTGTAAACGTAGTACTTGTATCCTTTTTTTTTTTATTTATTTTTATTTTTTTCTGATTTCTTTCTTTTTTTCAGTTCCTTTTAGTATGCAGCGTTTTCAGAATGGTTCATTTTCGAAATAAGGGTCATCCTAAAAAATACATTAAATATAGGTATGGTATTGCTTAATATATATAAAAGATGATTCAAGAATTAAACATCATTTAAAAGCGGTAAATCAAGCATATTGATAAAAAAAAAATATTTTCGTGTTTAAATATAAACGAACTGCCGCGTCCCACGTGTCATCGCAATTATTGATACACTTGTGTATAAAATATAACACATATTATAAGGTAAGAAATGATAATATTATATTATGTAATGAAATAACTTCCATTGGTCCCTATTTTTAATTCTATGAAGACCGCACCGAAATCTGTCGGGATTCGTCTTTTCACTAAAACTAATAATTAAGGATGTACTTAGGTGAAATTAAAAAAATCTAGAATTTAAAATTGATACTATAAGTCAGAAGAGCATTAGTTAAGGAACAAAATAAGCTAAAAATATTGATAGGTTATGGAGCTCCTTTTTCAGATATCTATTTTTTTTTAAATGGCGGGAAAAGGCTGACTCGGACTTTTACCTTATATTTGCATTGGTATTATTTGGGTCTGAGATCGAAAGAAAAGAAATCTAGAATCTGACATTTGACATTCAACCCACCATTTTTTCTCAAAATGTCCTGTACCAAGTCATGAATATGACAGTTGTTATCAAATAGTCCGTTTCTATGTATGTTGACGTTTGTTTTTGTAGCAGTTCAGTGTTTCTGTTGTTCCGTTGATTTCCTCTTTTTTTTCTCGCTTAATCGATTTATGATTATTGAACAGCGGTAAACTACTGTTACCTTTATTTGTGAGCTATTGAAGTCTTATATGAAAACAAAAATGTGTGTTATGGGGCAAAATATTTTACCCTGTATCGTAGGAAAAAAACCAGAGTCCGAACATCTGACAAAAATTCTCAAATCTGACCTAAGTACATCCTTAAGTTTGTCTGGCCTCCCAAATGAATCTGTATAAATGGTATGTGTTGTTATGTTTTGTTTTTTGTTTCATCTTTCTTTTTTAAGTTTTCGTATTGAAATATTTAAAAGATGCTGATCACCAAAAGAAAAATAATAATTGACTTTCATTGCATAAAAATTTGGTGAAAAATGCATTTGACGTCAAAACTGGTACATGGACATTCTATTCAGACTTTGTATTTATTTCATGTTGGGTTCGGTTTTAGAATAAGATATGAATTTTTGTTGAGAACTAACTATATATCATCTGCAAAATGCAAAGATGTTTATGTGTGCTTTTTTGTGTGTGTTTTAATGATTCCCAGAACGTTTTTTGTCGAAGAAAAGTAAGAAGTGGACATTTCATTCAGACCTGGCATTTTCATGCCCGTTTCTCTAATTTTCAAAATTTGCCTACGAAATTTGTTTACCGGTTTTGTAAAACATATAACTTTGTAATCATATATAGAAAATAACTTACCTTTACTACAACTTTCTTTTACTTTTTATAATTCTGTTAAATATCTGTCATATTTGCTGGATCTTTAGAATTGGATAGAAAACATTGAAACTTCAACGGTAAACTCCCATTGCTATATGACATTGATCCATATATATATCCATCTTTTAAATATTTCAATACGAAAACTGAAAAAAGAAAGATGAAACAAAAACAAAACATATCAACACATACCATTTATACAGATACATTTGGGAGGCCAGACAAACTAAAGGATATACTTAGGTCAGGTTTGTGAATTTTTGTCAGATGTACATCATGTAGTGTAAAATCGTCAAATTTTGAAACATCATTACGTAATGTTAAAGCCATATAAAGAATTGGCAAATCATCATTACGAAATAACAAAACCACATCATGTAATGAAACAACTACATTACGTTAAGTCACATACACATCAAGTAATGTTAAAACCACATTGCCTAATGACACAACCACATTGAATAATGGTGAAACCACATCGAGTAATGACAAAACCATATTTAGTAATGACAAAACTTTATCAAGTCAATACGAAACCATATCGTGTAATATCGAAATATCATTAAGTAATGACTATTCCATATTGAGTTATATCAAAACATCATTATGTAATGTCAAAACCATATTATGTAAAGACAAAATATCATCAAGTAATAATAAAACAACATAACGTAATATCAGAGTTCCACATGAGACAGTTGTGGCGTTCCATATATATCAGCAGGTGCTCTATCAGCAGGTGAGTGATCTAGACCTTACCGAAAATATTTATCAAATCTTATTGTGCCTACAAATAGTAAACAATCGTACAATACTCGACTTTCATCATCAGATAATTTTATTGTCCCTAAATCAAATACAGAATTGTACAAATCATTTTTTTTTCTTTTAGTGGAATTCACTATATATCCAGTGAAATTAAAAAATCCAAAACTGTATCTGCATTCAAATACTCTTACAAGTCATTATATTTTTAACAGTGTGAAACTAATAAGTTAAACCACAATGTTTACTATAGGTGAATTATTTTGTTGTTGTTATATTTGTGTATTTATACATCTATTGTTTATATGTGTGTAATAGTAGACTGGTTATGTTTTATTCATGTAGTTGATATTGTGTGTAGAGAGCCTTATTGAAAATTGGTTTAATCCAAATGAGTTACTCTCTTTAAATAAAGATATTATTATTATTATTTTCCCGCGTTATATGTTATTCCAATTAAAACAAGAGTATAATGTATTTATTTCTAGGTAAACTTGGTAAAAATGAAGTTATCTTCCGGGTTAAGTTTCAGGACTGATGGTTTTCTTCCATGTACACTGAAGACAACAGATTTGCACCTGTTATCAGTTTCAGCAGGAAAGTTTGTAACAAGCGTTTTAACTTCCTTCAAACCGACACCGATGAAAGATAGTAAAGGCGTTTTTTGTCATTAAAATGTTATCGGACAAAAACTATTCTTTCATGGTACATCTTCAAATGTTCTCAGAGGATTTGAGAGCAAATCTCATCTAAATCACCAAAAACAAATCACTTCTACCTTTTTTAGCTCACCTGGCCCAAAGGGCCATGTGAGCTTATGCAATCACTTGGTGTCCGTCGTCGTTCGTCGTCTGTCGTCTGTCGTCGTAAACTATTTCAAGAATCTTCTCCTCTGAAACTACTGGGCCAAATACTTTCAAACTTTAACTGAATGTTCCTCAGGGTATTTAGTTTATAAATTGTATCCGAAGTTTTGATCCATCAACAAACATGGCCGCAATGGCTAAAAATAGAACATAGGGGTCATTTTGGCTTATATCTCAATACTAAGCATTTAGAGCAAATCTGACATGAGATAAACATTTCAATAGGTCAAGATCTATCAGCTTTTACATTTTCAGACGACCCAAACAACCCATTGTTAGGTTGCTGCCACTAAATTGGTAATTTTAAGGAAATTTTGCAGTTCTTGGTTATTATCTTGAATATTATTGAAGATAAAGATAAACTGTACACACCAAAAATGTTTGGCGGACCTTCGCTTTGGCGGGTTTTTTAAAAGATAGGTTTTTGTCCCTTCTGTTTGAGTGAGTTACATGTACTTGTTTTGTAACTGTCATTTGTTTTTGTCGAGCCTTCGACTTTTGTCGAAAAAGCTAGACATAGCGATCCTCGGCGGCGTCCACAAATATTCACTCTGTGGTTAAAGTTTTTGAAATTTTAATAACTTTCTTACACTATCCTGGATTTCTACCAAACTTGGACAGAAGCTTGTTTATGATCATAAGATAATATTCAAAAGTAAATTTTGTAAAAAAAAAAATCCATTTTTTCCGTATTTTACTTATAAATGGACTTAGTTTTTCTGCCAAGAAACATTACATTCACTCTGTGGTTAAAGTTTTTGAAATTTTAATAACTTTCTTAAACTATCCTGGATTTCTACCAAACTTGGACAGAAGCTTGTTTATGATCATAAGATAATATTCAAAAGTAAATTTTGTAAAAAAAAAATTCCATTTTTTCCGTATTTTACTTATAAATGGACTTAGTTTTTCTGCCAAGAAACATTACATTCACTCTGTGGTTAAAGTTTTTGAAATTTTAATAACTTTCTTAAACTATCCTGGATTTCTACCAAACTTGGACAGAAGCTTGTTTATGATCAAAAGAAAGTATCCAGAAGTAAATTTTGTAAAAAAAAAATTCCATTTTTTCCGTATTTTACTTATAAATGGACTTAGTTTTTCTGCCATGAAACATTACATTCACTCTGTGGTTAAAGTTTTTGAAATTTTAATAACTTTCTTAAACTATCCTGGATTTCTACCAAACTTGGAAAGAAGCTTGTTTATGATCAAAAGATAGTATCCAGAAGTAAATTTTGTAAAAAAGTAAAAAAAAAATCCATTTTTTCCGTATTTTACTTATAAATGGACTTAGTTTTTCTTCCAGTTAACATTACATACAGTCTGCACTTTAAGTTTTTAAAACATTTATTAGATTCATAAACTATCCTGGATTTTTACCAAACTTGGACAGAAGCTACTTACAATCAAAAGATAGTATAGAGAGGAATATTTTTATTATTTTTTTTCCTCATTTTTGTTGAGCCTGCGATTAACAGCAAAAGTAGGCGAGACACTGGGTTCCGCGGAACCCTTACGAATTTTTTGTGTTGTGTGTATAGTTTATGTTGTGTAGACCTCTAAGTTTTTTGAGATGCTGATCTAAGCCTAATAAATGTTTTTGTATACTTTTGTTTTGTTTGAAATTTGCCAGGGAGATTTAAAAGATTGAAGAGTAATTGTAAAATTTTTATTCTAAAAATGCATAATTAAGATTCAATTATCTTTTATTTGTTTTCTATAACTATTAGCATTTACTTTTCCTTAGTGCTTGTTCCGCATGCACTATTAGAGTGATACATTTTTTCTCATTGGTTCAGTGAATTTTACATTTTACCTGGCTGGTCCATTTCAGTTGGTCCTACTTGTAATTTCTACTCAGTAAAGTTTTCCTTGCAAATCACTATATTCGTATGGTCATTCTTCTAATCAGTTTTCTCTGAACAGGTCATAATTTTTATTAAGTTGACGCGTCGATCGACTTAAAATTGTAATTCTTGAAATTCTTATTTTTCTTAATTATTTTAATTATGTTTAGTAGAGTATTTTGGTACTAGTTATTTAAACTTTGTAATGAGTTCACGCAGAGTATTTTCAGTCTAGTTAATTTTACTTTGAGAGGAGTTCACGCCCGCGAAGAAATCTTCCGCGTCTGGATTATAAGAAATTGAATTTCTTGGTCGTTCAGATACTACGTTTTAAAGTATTTTTCAGAATAACAATATGGATAAAGACTTGAACCTTTCCATAACAGCTGATAACGACTTTGATGGTCTGGATCTAGAAGAAGATCCAACGGCTCGAGACTCGTCTTTGGTTAGGGATAAGCAGGTGGAAGGTGCTATGGTTGTTGAGAGGACCGCTGGACGACCGGCCGTGCCCAAGGAAGAAAGTGGCGACGAGGATTTGGAGCTTCGTCTTCAATTGTTAAAGGAGAAGCGAGATTCCCTTAAGAAGGAGAAGCTGAAGAAGGATATTCGCAAATTAGAGCAGGAGGTGGATCTACTTGCTAAAGAATCGAAGACTAAGGCAGCGAAACCGAAGAAAAAATCAGGTGAGGTCATTAATTCTAATGTTACCATTAATGATCTGAGTAAAATCAAAAAAGTTATGTTCAACGGTGAAATCTCAAATGCATGCTTTAGGTCTTGAGTTAGATAGTGAACATGATCATACTGGTAAAAAAGCTCATTCTAAGTCTCAAAAAGAAGCTGTCGAAGTTGGTATGAACAAACAAAAATTGAAACCTAAAGAAAAGATAAAGCGGAACACAAAACAAAAAGCTAAATTAAAATATAGTCCAAGTTCTGATTATGAATTATCGAGTTGCGATACAGATTCTGAATTTGAAAAACGTTCGAAGCGTAAATTGTGTTCAAAATTAAAAAAAGAGGGTCTTGACTAATCTAAATTGAAAAGCATGAAGAAGTTATCAAAGCATAAAAACAAATCTAAGAGGAATCTGAAGATTAAATTAAAACCAGATTCTGATTCTGAATTTTCGAATAGCGATTTAGATTCTGAGTCTGATTCTTCGGACTCTTCTGATTATGGTAAATATGATCAACGTGGTCATAGTTCTAAATCCAGCAAGAACAAATCAGGGATAATGTTTTAAAATCTTCGGACAAAGTTAAAAATGCTCAGTATTTTCCTCACATTTTTTTACAATTTGAATACGTCAATAAAGATTTGAAATTCAAGCAGTTGAGTTTTAAACAATTTTTAGCGGGGGAATTGGAGATAATAAAGATTTGAAATTCAAGCAGTTGAATTTTAAACAATTTGTAGCGGGGGAATTGGAGATAATATTTAATTTTTTATCATGATAAATATGAAAAAGAAGGCAGGTTAAAATTACTGCAGAAAATTTCATATTTTTCTTCCATTTATCAATGGTCGGCTATTTTGGACTTTTACGCTGCTTGGCTACATCAAATAGAAATAGGCAAAAAATGTTGGAGTGACGATCCACAAGTTTGGAGAGTGCAATTTTGACTGGTAAAGTGTTTAGTTTTTATAAAACTGACTCAAAGTTTAACAAAACCCTTTCTTCGAAATCAACGGTTTGGTTTTGTTATAAGTATCAAAGAAATAAATGTGAGGAAAAGACAACACCTCATAACGATACGATTAGGGAGGGGGGGGGGGGGGGTTGTTCGATCCGTGTTACATATTTGTGCAACATGTTTACAAAAAGATGGTACACAACGGAACCATCCTGAATGGGCTGAGTTGTGTCCACATAAACGTAAATGACTATGTAATTTAGGGAACAAAAATTTTATGTTTGATGGTGATCACTGTGCAATTTGTAAAGATGTTTTACTTTTAGAAGTTGGTCACACTTCTGATCTTATAGATTTACATAATCAGTTAGTTTTTTCTGATTCTTACAGTTTTGAGTGTTTAAAGATTCCTATTTATTCTAAGTTGAATATACGATTTTGGCGTTCTCAGTTAGAGTTTTATTTTGACAAAGTCATTTGTGAATTTTTAGAGTTTGGTTGGCCAATTGGAATAAGATATCTAGAAAATGTTGTAGAAATCATACTGGGGCTCGGTTTTATCCCAAAGACATAGTAAAGTATATCAAGAAAGAGAAAACGAACTGTGCAGTGTTGGGCCCATTCAAAGTTAATCCCTTTTCTGATAAGGTGGTTATATCTCCGCTAAATTCTGTTCCGAAATCTGGTTCTGCCGAAAGAAGGGTCATTATGGATCTTAGTCACCCGAAGGGTCATTCTGTGAACGACTGTATTGAAAAGAATGAATATTTGGGAGATAGAGTTGACCTTCATTATCCTAATGTTGATAAACTAGTTGACATTATTAAGAGTAAGGGTCAGAATTGCTTAATTTTCAAGAGGGATCTTCGTCGTGCTTATAGACAGATTCTGTTAGACCCAAAGGACTATAGTTTTGTTGGTTTTTCTAAGCGTAATCACATCTTTGTCGATCGTGTTTTACCAATGGGTTTGAGATCATCAGCCTGTATTTGTCCACGTATCACGAATGCAGTGACTTTTATCGCGGGAACATTTGGTGTGGATGTCATTAATTATGTTGATGATTTTGCTGGGGCAGACTGTCCTGAAAAAGCTCAAGTCTCTTTTGAAAAGTTGAAGAGTGTTTTGGATGAGTGTGGATTGGAAAAATCGGCGAAAAAGGCTTGTGAACCTTGTTTAAGAATGTCATTTCTTGGTGTGTGGTTTGATACAGAGAAAAAGACTTTAGAAGTTACTCCAGATCGTTTAACTGAAATTTCAGAGTTGGTTGTAATGTGGTTAAATAAAGAGAAGGCCAGAAAGAAAGAAGTGCAGTTCTTGTTATGGAAATTAAATTTTGTCTCTAGTTGTGTCAAACCAGGTCGGATTTTCTTAAGGGAATTTTCAAATAATGATCAAGTGTTAGACGATTCGAATGAGTTGAGAAGGGATATGCTCAGGTGGTCAACATTTTTACTGACTTATAATTGGATTTCCATCATTAGTCTGGAAGAATGGACTGAACCAGATTTATTTTTCTCTTGTGACGCTTGTTTGACTGGATGTGGTGGTATGTCGGGTTCTGAGTATTTTCATTGCGAGTTCCCTAAATTCATAAGTGAACACAATTTCCATATCAATGCTTTAGAGCTCTTAACAGTGATTGTTTGTTTGAAAGTCTGGCTATTAAAGGAAAGAAAATTTGTATTTATTGTGACAATAATGTTTCAGTGCAGGTTATAAATAAGGGACGAACTAGGAGTAGAATTTTGCAAAGTTGTTTAAGAGAACTTGTCTTTGTCTGTGCAGTGCAACAGTGTGAAATTAAGGCGATCCATTTAAGTTCAAAGGACAACCGGACCGCAGATTTGCTTTCTAAATGGAATTTATCTCAGTCCTTTCAAGAGGAATATAAAAACTGTTTAGAATACAGTTCTCGTGTTGAAGTTAATGCTGGTCCTTCTCTTTTTAGGTTTCAGCATGACTGGTGATTTAGATCATTTAAGAGCAGAATCAAAGAATTCCATTAAAATGCGTATGCTATTGGGACAAGGAATAATTTTAAGATTCAGTGGAAGTCTTTTTTATTATTTTGTAATTTTTACAAGTTGGTGGCTTTGCCTTGTTCTTTGGAGACAATTTGTTTATATTGTCAATTTTTAAGTCGTTCTTTTGCTAGCACCGAATCTATTAAGAAAAATGTTTATGATGTTAAAAGTTTGCATTTTTTTTTAGATGTTTCGTTTCCGCATTTTGAAACGTTTTATTTTAAATCATTTTTTAAAGGTTTAAAAAGGGTGTATCCGTATGAGATCAAACCAGCATTACCTATTACTCCGGAAATTCTTCTGAAAATCCGGTTCGTGCTGAATTTTTTAAGACATTAATAATATAACTTTTTGGTGTTTGTTTTTATTCTCCTGTTTTCTTATGTGCCAAAAATCTAATTTAGTCGGCCCAGATGGAGAACCACATAAAAGTTTAAAAAGGAAAGACATAGTGGTAAGAGAGAACATGTTGATATTTACTTTCAAGTTGACTAAAACTATACAGTTTGGAGAAAGAAAATTAGAGATCCCATTGATTAAAAATCCGGAATCTAAATTATGTCCATACTCTGCCTACATGGCTATGTGCAAACATTTTCAAGCACCTATAAGTTTTTCAGCCTTTTTAATGCGAGGAACCCGTAAAGGCGAATTTAAGCCTGTACGTTATAGAGTATTTAATAATTTCTTGAAAACATGCATAAATAGTATTGATTTAAATTCGAAACACTACTCCACACATAGTTTCAGAAGAGGTGGAGCGACGTGGGCTTTTAAATGTGGTGTCCCCTCCAATTTAATACAGTTACAAGGGGATTGGAAATGCTCAGCTTATAAACTATATTTATAATATGGGTTATCAGATAAAATTGTTGCTAACAGTATGTCTGCTTACTGCTGATCTGTTTTATGTCATTTTAGGACAGAAAGCGTGGAACAGGTCGACTTTGATTATAGGGGATTCTATAGTCAAATATTTCCCAGAGTTAAAGAATACTACAATTCAAGCTTTTAGAGGACTTACCTCAAAGCGACTTGTCCGTAAGCTGAGCAGATTTGATTTAAATGTACAGGACTTTTATAATGTCATTATTCATGTTGGTACAAATGATATTTTCTATTATTAATCTCATTGCTTCTGTTAACAGTAAATGTTGCATTTTGCTGTCGTCTATTTTACCTAGACCAGTTGATTACAGATTTTCAGAGGTTATTTTAGGAAGTTTTAATGTAGAATTAAGGGATTTGGCGTTAAATCACAGTGATCTTAGTATTCAAAGATGTAGAATTCAATTCATGTCTTGCAATAGAACTTTTTACGATAAGTTTGGAAGACCAAAATTTCCTTTATTTGATCAAATTGATCGACTTCATTTGAATCATGCAGGCATTAATAAAATGATTCATTTTATTGCTAATACTTTAGCACATTTAGTGACAGAAAGTGAGAATTTTAAGGTTCAACAGGGAGGCATATTTTCTCTGACCCCTATATATATCGGGGGGAGAGTTAAGTGCTTATCCTTGACCATTTTATGTTGGGTTTTAACAGACGGGAGGGTTACCTAAAGCTTATTTCCTTTCTACACTGGAGAGGTTTAAGGCAGCTGACTCCCTATTCGTTATTTTTACACGATTTGTTTGGCGGACCTTCGGTTTGGCGGGTTTTTTGAAAGATAGGTTTTTGAACCTTCTGTTTGAGTAAGTTACATGTACTTGTATTGTGACTGTGATTTGTTTTTGTGTTGTGTGTATATTTTATATTGTGTAGACCTTTAAGTTTTTTGAAATGCTGATCTAAGCCTAATAAATGTTTTTACATACTTTTCTTTTGTTTGAAATTTGCCAGAGAGATTTAAAAGATTAAAGAGTAATTGTAAAATTTTTATTCTAAAAATGCATAATTAAGATTCAAATCACTATATTCGTATGGTCATTCTTCTAATCAGTTTTCTCTGAACAGGTCATATTTTTTATTAAGTTGACGCGTCGATCGACTTAAATTTATAATTCTTGAA